TTCAAAGTTAATTTTATCAAAGTTCCCATTTTCACAATATGGGCCCAATAAAAAGTTTTATACTGTCTTGGGTCTTTAAGGCTGGATCCTTTGATACAACTGCCTCCTTTTACAGAAGAGAAAACCAATATTTAGACCAATGAAGGTTACAAATCTATAAGATTAATAAAAAAAAACCATGAAAGGATGAAAACTTCTGGAATCCACAAGCAAACTTTATTAAGAGCCCACTTAAGTTGTAAAGCATTGTATTAGGCACATGGGTATATGAGAAAGTAGGGTCTTTGCCTTCCTTCAACTTAGTTTTAATTGGAGAAAGAAAATGTATGGACATTTTTAAAAGGTTGTTCAGTATAGACAGAGTTTGGGGAGTTCAGAGGAGGGAGAGATCACTTTGGCCTGGGATCAAAAGATCATAGATTTAGAGCTATAAGTGATCTTAAGATAGGTAATCAAATTCCACACTCTTATTTTATAGATAGTAACTTGCCTAGGATCACATGAGTAGTAAATATCAAAGGCAGAATTTGAACTCACATCTTCCTGATTCCATGTCCAGCATCCCAAATACTGTAACATGCATAGTTTACAGAAGGCTTCACAAAAGACGTGAAATTAAGGCAGAAATAATTTGTCCAGCACCTTCCTACAGATGTGGAAAAACAGTCCTATAAATATGACATGCCCAGAATCATACTGCCAATGGGATGTTCAGAAGTACAACCCATATTTCCTGACTTATAATCTAGGGTTCTTTGCCCTATAATTCTATGAAGAATGGATGTTTCCTTAGGGGAGAAATGCAGAGATGACATATGCAAAATCTTTCTATCCTATTTGTTAGCCTATACTTCCGTGAAGACAAAAGAAGGGGAAAAAAACCCTTTAACTTTGTGATGCAATTACAGAAATAGATAAAACCCTTGGGGTTCTGAATTTGGAGCACTGCTCATTCAACTCTATTTCAATTACTCACTTTTGTTCCTTAGTAACAACCAACATTATTTGGTAGCTCCTGTATCATCCCTCTCTTCCTTCTCATTGCACCCCCTGCCATCCTGAGATATACACTCCACTGCCACTGTCACCACTCCAGAAAAACAAAGGAGTGAATCTCTAGACAAGCTTCCTTTCCTCATGCCTGCTTAGATGCAGAGTTGTTGTCTGCTAGTTCTAAAGGAATTCAGCTGCAATTCATGGGTCTACTCAGCATATAAAGTATGTCTACAGCCTGCCAGGACTTTAATTTCCTTTAATTGAACAAAATGAATTGAGTTGTGGGAAAGGTTCCAGTTTGACAAGCCATTTCCTGACCCTTAAGACAACAAGATTTACCCTCCTACCCTGCCCTCCTTCTCCCACCTTCAATGAAGTATTTACTGGCAGAGGTACAGTCAATAGTGACCAGAATTTATAAGTACCAAAACTCTGGTCTACAGAGGGCCAGTCTTTTTCAAAAAGCAGTATTAGACAGGTTATTATTGTACATTGTTCAGCACAGTAGAACCAAAGACTCATATGGGCCTGAAAGGAACATTAGAGACTTATCTAATCCAACCCACTAATCCTCAAAAATGGGAAAACTGAGACCCAGAAAAAACAAGGGACTTGTCCAACCAAGGTCATACTGCTAGTTAGTGGCACCTTGCATATAATAGTCAAAAAATAAGTGTGTTGACTTGGTTTTCAGTTATGAAACAATCCAGAATTTAGACTTTCTGATTAAGATGGTCTAGGATGACTTGAATCTTTCTCATTATCCAAGATGTGTAGTAATCCATTCCAGGTAAAGAATTCCAAGTTTATTCAAATACTCCTCTTCCTCTGTAGGGGCTGTCTGTTCTTCCCTCTCCCAACGCCACTATTTACAAAGCAGATATAAGGTTCTCTTTAAAGAATACATAATAAGAGCTGGAATTTGGTTCAGAGAGATCTAGGTTCCAATCCTTCCTTTATCATGTACTACAAATTGGGGGAAGTCACTTCAACTCTGAGTCTCAGTTTCCTCATGTTCGAACTGACTTAACAGGGTTTTGTTACAGGACTGTCATAAGCATCAGATGAGATAATGTATGTAAAGCATTTTGCAAGTTTATGTATTTCAATGATTATTATCACTAATTGTCAATCCCCTCCATTCTGAGTAACTTCTGACTTATTAATATTAATGCAGATTGACCTGTTTGCATTAATGAGCACATAATGATCCATTGAGTGATCTGACCCTAAGTGAAAGGGTCTGACAATTTTTGTGGCTAACCCTCAGTCCAAGATCAAACTGTTTCATAAAGAAACATAGCTCCATTCTTAATTATTTCACTGTTTATTATAGAGGGAATAGTGTATAGCTGTGCTGCATAAAGAACACTGGGCTTGGAATCATGACTTCAGTTTGAATCTAGATTCTGCCACATATTATCTGTGAGACCCTGGGAAAATAACTTAACCTCCCAAAAAGGAAGATTTTGATTCCATCAGACCTGTCCAAAAGGAAAATGAGCTGCCTAGGTGAATTTCTCATCTCTGGAAATTTTCAAGCATAAAATGGATGCCCACTTGCCTGGGCTATTGTAGATAAGAGTCCAGATGAGGTATGAGTTGGAGTACATTGCATCATTTTACACAAAGGCTGAATGGTTTTATAATAATTTAAACAATGCTTTAAGGTTTATAAAATAACTTTACATACATCATCTCATGTGATCCAGACAAAACCCCTGTGAGGTAAGTACTGGGGGTTTATGTTATTGTCCTCATTTTACAGATGAGGAAAATAAGGTTCAGAGAAGTTATGTGAATTGCCTAAAGTCACACACTTAGAGAACCCTGAAGGGAGGACACATACTCAGAACTTTCCTGATTCTAAGGGTGCTACTCTTTCCACTCCAAGGCTGCTTCTCCACAGTCTAGTAGAAAGAAGACCGGAGTTATTAGCAACTGTGACCCCAGTTATTTGACTATGGGTAAGTAACTGATTTTCTCAGCAAGTCAGTTTCTTCTTATTTAAAACGGGGACAATAATATTTGTACTACCTAGCTCTCATAGGATTGCAGTAAGAAAGGTACTTTGTAAACAACATCATCAACAGCAATTTTGTAGCAGAGGTAGAAACTTGCTAAAGGAATATTAAAAAACCACAGCAGCTAAGGATAACTGTAGAATATCTCTCCTTCAACAATTTTAATAAATATTTGATAAGCATTTATTTTCCCCTGCAAATAAACAGAGACTAAAATATCTTCCCCGACCTGCTCCAAACCAGGTAAGCTCTAAGAAAGAATGTTCATCCACAGATTATTTCCCAATAAGGTCACACAGTTTTATGAGTAGTTTGAAAAGAGGGGGAAGGGAATAAAAGGAGACAGAAGTCAAGACTCTATCCCGTGTCGGAGCCCGGTCTCCATCTTCCTGCAAGTATAGATAGAGCCTATCCCACAAGTGAGAAATATATGAAGATATCCCCAGCCCTATTTGCTGGGGCTGCGGCACAGAAAGCCATCATCTCTGTAGGGGATGGAGCAACATAGCCACCATCTCAAATTCACACCTCTGGTTCCAAGGGACTGACAATGACAGCCACCTTCCTTGTGCCCCCTCGGCACATTGTTGTTATCTGCCAATCATTTGACCTAAATACATCAGCAATTTGGGGGTGGGGAGAGGAAAAAGACCGGTGTGTGTGGTGGGGGGAGGGAGAGTCAGAGAGACAGAGCATGCTCAGTGATCGGGATGACATCAGCTTAATCAATGCTGGGAAGCTGCACCAGCAATAGAGAAAGCTGCCAAGAACATGTCAATGGGGACAGGGAGGTTCGATCAATTCCAGTCCCTTCTCTATGAGTACAAAGGGAGCAGAATCAGACACCCGGGGAACAAGCAGTGTGGGAGGGGTGGAGGGAGAGGCAAGATGCACACGGAAATGGCAGAACGGGTTCTCTTTTATCCCTTGGACCAAAAATAGTCATACCATCATCTCCTTCTCCCAGAAGTCAGGACTCTTGAAAGAGTGAGAGATCTAATTTGGAGAGGGGAGAAAGGAAAGGACTCGGAGCAAAAAGTAACTTCTGCACTTTTCAGTGGGGAAGGGAGGTTGGTTGCACCCTCGTCACCTCTAGCCTCCTTTCTTTAACGGCTCACCGTAGAAACCTTCCCTTCTACACTCGGGGCACACCCCTGGGCTTTGGGAATAAAGAAAAGGGGGAAAGAAGAGAAGGCGGGAGGGGTGAGGGAGGGGGAGCGTGCACTGTCGTCCCTCATCCTTTCCCTTCCCCGCCTCCTAGCAGCAGAGGGACCACCCCTTGACCGAGGGGAGGAGTGCGGGAGAGACACCTGACCTTCCCGGCTGCGCCTGCAAGCACTACCTCAGTGCTGCTCCTCTCGCCCTGCTGTGATCAAGGTGAAAGGCGGCAGGGGAGCCGCGTTTTACACCGCGGTTGGGATTTCAGATCCGCTACACATTTGTGTCCCTTTATTTTCTTCTCCCAGAAGTGCTCACTAATACATACATGCTTGCACGAGAATAAGCGCACTGGGGAGGCAGTGGTGGTGTCTAATACTTATTTTTTAAAAGGGATGGAGGAAGAGGACAAGTAAATCCCGGTCCGCCCATCCCCCTCCAACACTTGTATACAGGGTCCATACAGCTGGCGCTGGGCAGGGGAACAATGGGGTCCGGCTTTGGCCCCCGCTGTGCTTCCCCTGAGCGCCCCCCACCCCTACGCGGGGAACAATGGCGACCGCGAGAGCAGCTCTCCGGCCCCCTCCCCATTCCTCCCAACCCTGCCCTGCTACCTGCCCCCGGGGTCCTGGGAAGGAACAATGAGGCTGGCGGGGGGTGGGGGGGAGTGGGTTGCGGGTGGCCCAGGGTTGACCTGTTTCTCCTCCACCGGGCCACGAGAAACTGCAGGGCAGGAATGTCAGAAGGAGCATCTCCAGTCTGGGGGAGGGGGGAAGTGAGGGACGAGAGGAAAGAAAAGGGAAAAATCCAACAGAAACTTACCCCTATGACCACCGTCTCGTCTCCTTTAAATTTGGGGATGAATTTGTCCCCTCGGAGGATCTCCGCTTCATTCAGAGGCCGGAACCGGCACATCACTTTGATGCTGCATTCAGAGGGGTCCGCCATCTCGGCCGGCTGTGGGCGAGGGCAAGGGCTGGCAGGGGGGATGGGGTGGGTGGGGTAAGGGGGACCAGAGGGTCACTGGAGCGAGGGGTGGGAAATAACCCGGCCAGCAGCCGAGCCACGTCCCAGTGCGGCCCGACTGGGTCCAGCGCGTGTACTTTTTAGCAGGTCATTGCGAACTCTTCAGGCTTGGCAGCTCCCGAGGAATGCAAACAGGGCAAATCCAAAGCATGCGACCCCTCTTGCTCCTACTCCCGGGCCAGGCTACAAATCTGCCCCTTCTCCCCCAGTCCCCTCTCCCTCCCCCTCTGGTACCGCAGGCCTGGGGAGGCTACTGCAAGTGAGGGAGGGGACGTCTCCAAAGGGGGACCCAGACTCTCTGCTCCTCTCAGATCGCAGAGGTTCCTACGGGCGCTGCCATCCTGCATCAGCACCAACTACCTTCCCTCGCCCCTATTCCTCCTACTACTTTCCCCTCCCTTCTACCATCCCCTCCCCCTCCCAGGGGCTTTATGACTTCACTGCATTGACTCCACCCCAGCCTCACTTCTTCCCAAGCTCTGGTCGACTGGCTCGATAGGCATGCTGGGAATTGTAGTCTCTCTGTCTGCAGGTGGAATGGACCATGATTACTTGGATTGAGTTCCCAAAGGCTGGGATGGTCTACCAAACGTCTGGAAGCCTAGACCTTCATTGTCCAAGTCAAGCAGGGGGTGATAGGGTAGTCATCTAGATCATTCAAGTAAATAAAATTTCTATGGCTTTCCTATAGAAGAAGCATGTCTTAAACGCCACTGTACAATAAGACAAAAGCCTTAATGGAGCACTTTCTTGACGCTAGAACTTTTTTTGGATGCTGTACTAATAACAGTTGACATTTCAGTGGCCCTTCCCTTGCCAAGGCCAACCCCTACCTTGTCCTTTGATCCCATGCCCTTCCATCTTCTCCGGCTCAACCATCCTCCTCCTTCTCTAACCTTTAATCTCGCCCTATCTACCGATTCCTTCTCTACTGTCTTCAAATATGCCCAAGTACCCATCTTTTAAAAGCCCCTTACTAGACCCTACCACTATTGTCATATATCTCTCCCTTTCTCAACCAAACTCTGAGGAAAAAGCTACCTACACACTCATTGGCTCATTTCCTCCTCTCCTCAACCCTTTGCAGTCTGGCTTCTGACTTTTCACCCCACTGAATGTATTATCTCCAAAGTTACCAATGATCTGTTAGCTACCAGATCTTGTTCGTCTTTCCTTAATTCTCATCTTTCTTGACCTAGGCAGCTGGTGATGCAGTAGTTTGGAGTCAGGAAAACTAGCTGTGTCTCCTTGGGCAAGTCACTTAACCTATGCCTGCCTCATTTGTAAAATAGTGATAATAATAACTACTTCCCAGGGTTGTGATGAGGCTAAAAGGAGATATTTGTAAAGTCCTTTGCAAATCTTAAAGCATTATATGCATAGCAGAACAAAGAAAGATATTCTATAGGAAACTGTACATCTCCATTCATACCATTTGCTTTTTGGTTTGGGTTTTTTTTCAAGAATATGGTAAATTCCATACATTACTTTCAAACCTGTCCAGCTTATCTAACTTCTGAACTCTCTTCTATTCTTTCTTTGACTTAAAAAAATTATAATGCCTCTCCTTTTTTGCATCACAATTGCTAATACCTCTGCCCCCATCCTCCATCCCATTAATGAAGAAGAAAAAATAAATCAACCTTTGTAACAAATAAGCGTAGTGATGCAAAACAAACCCATACAGTGGTTATGTCCAAAAATGTATATTTCTGTACCTTGTGTAACATCACCTCTCCGTCTAGAGGTGGGTGGCATGTTTTGTCATAGGTCCTGTAAAGAAATGGTTGGTCAATGTTTTGAAGAGAGCTCTTAAGTCTTTCAGAGTTGTTTTTCTTTACAATTTCATTGTCCTTGTATAAATTATTATCCTGGTTCTGCTCATTTCATACTACCTAGGATTTTCTAAAACAATCTCTTTCATCATTTGTTATGATAAAATAACATTCTATTATATTCATATGCCAGTTTGTTCAGACATTCCCCAATTGTCTAATGGCAATCTAAGAAAATTCCTTAGATTCTGATTATTTTATTTTCCCCTTCTAATCACTCCTTTGGGTCTAGGAAACTTGTTTTGCTTGTGACTGTTTTCTCCCCAGTGTTATCCTTCCTCCTAAGCTCTATTGCTTCCCAAATGAGTTTTGTATATTTCTACTCCAAACTCTTGATTATGTATGTTTGTGTGTTCTTTCAGGGGAGATCTCTGCTCTTGTTTTTGCCACTTCCCAATACCTTTCCATTTCAGAAAAGAGTAGGGTTCATCTGATGCCCATGTTTTTTCTTCTCATACACCCCAATTATGAGAAGTAGCAAGTTCCATCCCCTTCTTCTTCCTTTCTATATAAGTGTATTTCTCCTTTTATTCCCCCTTCACTTCCCCCTCTTAAAATACTAAGATCAGAACCAATCCCACCACACATACCCCCAAGGACCTGTTTTTCTTAATATATTTCCCTAATGCCCTTTGAAGACATAAAGGTTCTGAAAGGATTCCTATTTTTTATCTCTCCATTAGAATGTTAGCACTAAATCATCATGTGTGTCTTTCCAATTGCTCAAATAAATTTACTTTTCGAGATTTCATTGGACCTTTGTGTTTGTATTTCAAAGTTTCTACTCATCTCTGGCCTTTTCGTTAGAAATACTTGAAAGTCATCTTTGATTAAACGTCCATTTCCCACTCTTACTCCCCATTATACATAGCTTTGCAGGGTAAGTTATTCTTGTTTGTAAGCCAATCTCTTACCTTTTGGTGTATTGTATTCTGATCTTCCTCAGTTTTTCGTAGAAGTTACCAACTCTTGTGTGATCCTGACTGTAGTTCCTTAGTACTTGAATTTCTTCTTTCTAGATGCAGTATTTTTCTTCTTTCTAAATGTAGTATTTTTACTTTGATGTGGAGGCTCTATATTTTGGTTATAACATTGTTCGGACTTTTTCTTATGGAGTTTCTTTTAAGGTGATCAGTAAATTCATTCTATCTTTACTTTGCCCTTTGGTACTAATAGAGCTGGACAGTTTTCATTTATTATTTCTTAAACCATAGTGACTAAGTTTTTTTTAAAAAAACAAAACAAGATTTTGAGGGAGTCCACTAATTCTTAAATATCTCTCCTTCCATTTCAGTTGGTTTTTTTATATCAGTTATCTTACAATTTCTTCTATTTTCCTCAATCTTTTGATAGCTTTTTGGTGAGGCAATCGGGGTTAAGTGACTTGCCCTGGATCACACAGCTAGTAAATGTCAAGTGAACTCAGATTCTCCCAACTCCAAGGCAGGAGCTCTATCCACTGCACCACCTAGCTGCCCCTGTTCCAATATTTCATGCTGTCTCATGGAGTCATTGATTTCTATTTGTTCTCTTCTAGTTTTCAGGACTTCAATCTCTTGCTTCATTTCTTTTTGGTATTCATGTAGTCCTTGTGAAAAATTCTTTTTTCCCTTTAGATCTCTGCTTACAGTTGTTATGGAGTTAAATTACACTATTTTTTGATACGACATGATGTTGTGTTTTTTTTTTTTCACTTACCTTTCCAGCTTTAAAAGTTCCTGAACTGGTCAAATTCAGCTTCAGACACATAACACTCACTAGCTGTGTGACTCTGGGCAAGTCACTTAACCCCAATTGCCTCAAAAAAGAAAAAAAAAAGTTCCTGAATTAAGTAAGGCTTTGTATCAGGACAAGTCTCCTCCTTTTGCCTTACTTGGGAGAGGGATGTGGGACCTGCTTAGTTTCTCCTTGGTTTCTCTCACTTCTTGACCTTACAAGATTAATTCCTCCCCATCCAGGATTTTTGAGGCTCAGAGCAATGCATTTGCAGGGCCTTTCTGGCATCTCAGGACAGTGTTAGGGACCTTAGAGCCCCTGGGCCTGAGCTGCCCTGATCTGTGGGCTGTGCACTTCAGAATGCTCAGGAACTGTGCTGATCCACTATGCTGGGCTAGTCATTGCCTGCTTCCCTGGGTTTTCAAAGTCCCCATCCTGGGGCTCTCTTGGGGTAGATCTATGCTGTTGTTCTTGCCACTTCCCAATACCTTTCCTTGCAGGTTGCATGTGTCCTTTCTCTGGTCATGGTGGTGCTTTCCTTGTTTGGAAAGCTTTTCCTTGTTTGTGCCTTCCTTTCCTGTTGCCTCTGGGTATTGGCTGACTTTTTGTGCAGTTCTGGAATAGATGTCACATAGTTTCTCACTGAGTTTCTTCATCATTTTGTGTGATACAAACTTCAGGGGTTTGCTATAGCAGGTGTGGGGGGAGTAGGGTAGCTTTCCTACTAATCAGGAAGCACATTAACAAAGAAATATTCTCTTGTTTTTAAAGCCTATTACAGCCTCATTACCTATCACTCCCTTTCCTACACCCCTATGTCTAGCAAACTAGGCTTCTCTCTCTTCTTCACATAAAGCAACCCATCTCTTACCTCCTTCACTAGTTGTCCTCAATACCTTGAATATATTTCCTCTATCCCTCTGCCTCATTAAAATACCATCACTTCCTTTGAGATACAATTTAGTCACCATCAGTCTACACAAATGTTTTCTTGATCCATTAATTATTAGTGCCTCCTCCCTAACTACTGTGAAGGGAATTAAGATTTTCATGTTAATTGATATGATATGTATAATGAATATACTAATAATTTAGATTCCTTAGAACTCCCATTTCACCAGCACATTCTGGCTTGGGAGTCAAAAGTTTTTGGTGCAGCATGAAATGATCAATCAAACCCTTGACAATGTTCTCACAATCACTGCATTCTTGTGCCTGTGTACCTTAAGTGAAGTAAATAAAAGATTGTAAAACTTATTCCCATCACAGAACTCTGATCCTCGGCCCCACCAAGTAATGACCCCCAAGGATTTGAAGCAGTACTGTTGCCACAGGACTCTAGAAATTCTATATTGTGTAATCTGTGGGCTT